TAATAGGTGAAATTATATTGGTTTTTTTTATGAAAATATATTCAAAATATACCATATTAAAATCAGCAGTTAGTAAATATAGTGCATTATTCGATCTATGCACTAGTCCCATTACATTACATAGTACAACCAGGTGATCTAAAATGTGAATTACAATTTTTGCCAAATACCCACAAATTTATTTGCTGTAAAAAATGAATCCTATATATACTGAAACATATGACCTACCTAAGGACATTAAAAAAAGTTACATATTTTGATTAATTCTTTCAATATATATATTGAAAGCATATTGTAAAAAGGATAAATTAAGCAGTATCAAGACACTTGTTTGTGTTTTCTTTTTGCCAAACTATGGAAAGTACTGCTTCTTAAGGATTGAAGATAGAGAACATGAAATAAAAATCACAACTTGATGAGATGACGATGGAAGTTGTTGACTAGAATATGCATTTAGGTTGTTGGATTGAGGCTTTTAATTTCCCTTTTTTCTGCGTCTTAACGTGTTCAACACTTAATCAAATGCAGCAAGTAAGCAATTGCAACTCATCCCAATTCATTGAACTTGCCACCAATCTGCGTTACTACCTCTTTATTTCGTGTTTATCGTAATAAAATTTTTAATTTTATTATTTATTAGCTTATTTTTAAAATAATCTTTTTATATTTTTTCAAATATTGATCAATTATATATTAGAATTCAAAAATTAGTTGTATACTAAATATAATAATTTTTATATCATTAACTAATTATAAATTATTCTTTCACTTAAAATAATACTAATCTTTTAGTGATACAGTAACATAACCCCTTTCCCTCTTTTCGGTCGTGTCTTTCTTTAAGCACGTATTGGCGTAAGAAATCGTTTTTATTTTGTGGTAATAATATTTTTGGAAATTGTTATTTTTTAAAATATTAAAAATATGTTTATATATTTTAAATATTTTTATTAATTTTATACAATTATTCTTAAAAATATTTTAACATCATGTTTGGTTTAAATATTATATTTTAAAAATATTAATGATTCTTTTAAAATTATTATTTTTTACTCTTGATTTATAAATTTTATTTATACTAATAACTAAATTAATGATTATTTAAAAATAAAAATAAAAAATAACTCCATATATATAAAAGATGTATTTAGTAAGATGAGCCGTTGAAATTTTAGACAGAATAATTATGCATAAATAATTATGATTATAAAATTTGAAATACATAATTATTAAAAAGATTCATTTGACTTAAATGTTTTAATTATAATATATATTTAGATACTTATATTATTTAATAATTTTTTATAAAATGTAAGATTCATCAATTCAACTGTTAAATTATTTTATATTATTTTTGTGTTATATATATTAAATTTCACATAATTTATATATATGTTATTTAAAATTTTATATTTTAAAAATATATTATCTATTAAAACAAATAATGTAATGAAGTACTAAATATTTTTTATTTTTTATTATTTTTAAAAAATTGACATTTTTACATAATATATGAAATATGGAAAGATAATGAGTGAATTGGTTCAATAAGCTAAATAAAAATGTTATTTGTATATCAATTTTTTAAAACTATTTTATATGTATTACACTTGAATATATTGTATTAAAAAAATATTTTTATCAATTATGAAAGTATATATATTTTTATACCGTATTCGTGAAAAATAAAATCTTTCCCTTTTACTCTCTTGCAATTCTGTATGTCTTAATTAATAGAATACACATTCATAGTATTAATAGTAGACAGTCGATACTGACATTATAAAATTAATAACAGCGAGAAAAAAAAATTAGATCTAATATTTTAGATACTTTTAACATAATTTTTTAAATAAATTAAAATTTAATCTTAAATATTTAGCACTATCTTTAATACCAACCTTTAATATATTGACAATTGAAGTTGAATTTTAATTTTAATTAGAAATAATAGTAAAAATATCTCAAATTAATATTACATTGATTTAATTTTATCCTAATAATGATCCCTAAGGTACATAATCTTACCCCATTATTTAACACATTGAACAACTGAATTTTAATCCAATAAATATTTATATATTACTATATAGAGTACTTTTCAGACTTGTGCGCTTCAAAAATCATTGGGAGATTTTCCTGTGAGGATAAAGTTTATGGTGACGTGGTCCTCTCTTGCGTTCTTCAAGACGAAAGATCACAAGTTACTTATCAATAAGATGGATCATATCATAAATAAATAAAAGTCCACTATGAGCATTAATCTTGGTATGATGTAGATGCAAACTAAAATATACAAAATGTTTGCTTACCTAAACATGAGACCACATTGAAACCCCCCACCAAATCCTAGTTAATAATTAATCCCAACAAGACTTGCTAGTAATTATTGTGTTAATTATTGTGTTATTATTGAAGTATATAAACCTTTATCTTCAGCAATTCAAAACATGTTAATAGACATCATCATTTGCTCACTACCTAGCTAGCTAGTAATTTATAATTTCATTATCAATAATTGGTTCTTTAACCACTCGACCCGCTGATTAATTTTGAGTGATTGAATGCAAAGGCTTTCTATCTTACCAAAATAATAAAACCTGGACTTATAATTCAAATTTCATTCATGCTTAATTTTAAGATGAAGATTACTAAAAAAAATACACTTCTGGTTATTAGTTAAAATTTATTAAAAATTATAAAAGTGTAAACAAATTAAATTATAAATAAAATTGTTAAAAATATATTAAAAGTATTTGTTTGATAAAAATAAATTTATTATAAAAAAGAGCACTTATTATTTTCATAGACATTGTTATTTGTTTGTCTTAGTGAAGTGGTTGGACATAAATGCATTTGGAAAGGACAATAGTGAAGACGTTGGTTTTCTCCCATGATTGTGTGTACATTTCCAATGTCATGAAACAATCTTCTTTGTCCTTTCTCTTCTTGGTGGTTTCGTTTGAACCCTTTCATGCCGCGTAAGGAAATGTCACATCATCAACTTCAAATAATTGGTAACTGTTCTCAGAAACACTATATTTTTTACATTGTTCATGAGCTTAACAAATGCATCATATTTTCGGTGGATTTTTCACCTTTTGCTTTCTCTCAACCTTCTTCCTCAAGGAGCCACATACATGCCCCCACAACATTTCCAATCAACCTTTCTCTTTTCAATTTTTTTTTCTTCTCTTTTTCATTTCATTACCCGTGTTTTTCCCATTTCTTTCTGACACATTTATGCTTTCTATGCAAAAGGAAAATAGAGTAAGGGAGCAAGCAAGCTTATTGTGCACAGGCTATTGACTGTTCATGTTTCCTCTGTTGTTTGGCTATAAAGGCACAATGCTAGGATAGTCAGTAACTGTAACATATCACAGAAAAGAAGCATGTTATTTGGCAGGAGTTTTATATAAAGGAGAATGTTAATCAATGTTATTTAAGACATTAATTCCAAGTATTATTATTGCATTTGTATTGAAACTTTTAATGTATTCCCTTAATTTTTTCAATTAAATTGTTTATTAATTGGTATTTGTAAGGTCCTCGTCATATAAATTCCTTGCAAACATTTAGTTAAGTATCAAATTAAATTAATCATTTTAATATTTACAACTAATCACTTGATGATGTAGTAAAAAAATAGATTATAAATTGAATTTATCACATATATTTAACCAATAAATACTGATATATAACTAATACCTTTAAAAGAGATTGGACATGGATTTGTGATTAGTCTGAGCAAGAAGCTTTTCTCCCTATGGAAAACACAACTTCAACAACAAAGAAAGAAAAACAAATCCATGTGTCATAATTTGAAACAAATTGGTGCAAATTGTAGAGATTAAAGAGGCTTCAATTTTTACACGAGGGTATTTTTCTGTAGTTCTTATGGTGGATGTATAACAATTAACAGAATCTATCCGAGACTCAAATGAAAATCCAAAGTAATTCCCTTTTATATGAATCGCTCTAGTGCTTAAGTGTAATGGGAAAATTACTCTCCTTGGTGCTACCCACAATTTCTGTCCTATCATAGCCATATTCATATGCTTTTGTGTTTTAATTTTTAAAAACTTTATATTTCATTGAATGAAGTGAAGAATCCAACGTATGGGGAAATTAATTCCCCGATCTTTATATAAATTTCTAAATACTTGATACTCATATGCTGCTCTGTCTGTCTTTGCATTACCACTTCAAAATGCTTGCCACTTTTAATAAAATTTTGAACATATTTTCTTATAAAAAGTGAAATCATTCACCATATGTGTACCCGGTTAAAAGTTAGGAGTGCTCCTTTCTCGTTGCAGAGACAACAAAAATAAACAGTATTATTAATTATGAAGATTTCAAAATGAAAAAGTATATCTATACAATAAAATTATATAATATTTTTATAATAAAAAATACGAAAAGTGAAATATAAAAAAAGTGATGCAATAGAAAAATATTTAAAAAATTACATAAATAATGTAACTCTGATTAACAATAGTTTGTACCTGACACAAAAGTAGCAGTCTAGGAAAACGGTCACGGTATAATTCCAACCGAAACCATGCGCCATGTGTAACTGTAGCTTCTAAAGAAAAAAGATAATTTAAATATTTTGAATTAGAAAATTAGTATATGTCATAAAAATTTAGACTACTGTCCACGAGAAAATGAAGAAAGGAAGTGTTTTATTAGTATTCCAATTATAAATAATTTCAATTTGATACTATTTATTACCACATCAGCTCATCAATCAATATAAAAAATAAATAATGTGTCAAAATATTAATAAATGTAAAAATAGAACTGCTTGATACTAATTAAATTGTACAAAAGCATACACTAATTTTGACCCATCCAAAGTGAAGTTAACTACTAACAGTAGTTAACAAAATCAATATAGTTTCAATAATAATAGAACATGTTTTCCTTTTCAACCACCCTCCCTTCCACTATCTTTTCCCTCTACCTAAAGTCAATGCTGCTTAACCAAACATAGGCAAAAGAACACCAAGCTTTATTTAAAATAAATAAATGAATAAACTTGATTTGCAAAGCTAAAAGGTGGCTAGAAGAGTCTCTTGCTGGCGTACAAAAAGCTTATAAAAAGCAATTTGAACAATTATTGTAATCCCAACGTCCAAATATTCCTCCACTAAATGGAACAACTTTAAGGCAGTAGAGAGGGGTCACAACTCTAGTTGGATATATATGATATAGGGGTTGAAGATGATGCAATACCCCTAAGTATAGGAGAATACAAAGCCCTTATTTGAAAGGAACTTCCCTCTTATTCTTGAGCTTTGAACTAACTTAGTCAAGAAAATCTGTGACTATGTCTTCCCTTGACATCACATTCAGGGTCATTATTAACCAGTCTCTAAGTTGAGAGAGTTAAAAATGAGTACATATAAAAATATTGGTCATAAGCAGTCATAGTTGGTAAACACAGAAAATGGGAAGACCCGGAGCTAAGAAGCTAGAAACTACACTACTGATTTGAGAAGAAAGAAGGATGTACACTCAACTATCTGTACAGATTGATTCACAGTCATTGTACTAACAATGGAAGTGAAAAAGGACAAGAAAAAATGGTATGGCTCAAGGTAGAGAAGAACTGGGAAGAGCCTCTCTTGCAACTTTATTAAATACATCAGATGGCCTTCTTAAGATTGCTTTCTGACAATCTTGACACTGCTATAGAAGCGCTTGAGATCTTTCATAGCCTTTTCCTCAATTTGAATAGATCGAATCGAGGATGGTGTTTCCACTTCAGGCTTGAACCAGCGGCTCACCCCAGTTGTTTCAGATGGTGAGCCTTGACCACTGGCAACAGAAAATCCAGCTGTCCTAGTCTTTGGACTAAATGAAAGGCTTTGTAGTTTCTTTCCCTGTATTCAAAACAACATTCTCAACTGAATAATAGACACTAGGAGAAGATAATACCAAAATGCAATTAAAATAAGCATAGGCCAAAATGCATAATGAATTATCAGCCACTGGTTCAGAGCAACATTACACAATTATAACACTGGCATGGGGATAAATACAACAGCAAAAATCACCAAACTTTATCTCCAAGAGTAAGGTCGGCTACATGAATCACATAACACTATTGGCATGGGGATAAGTACATGAAAGAAAGCCTTAAACCACAAACCTGTTGCATTTGGATGTCCCTTAAAGATGGACGAGAGAGTTGGGGAGGGGTTCCTGAAGCAGCCCAAGGAGGGGTGCTTACTTCAACATCAGATGCTTGGGAACAATGAGTTGCAGTAACAGGTATTGGGCTGGAAGGAAGAAATGAACTCAACTTTATTTTCCCCCCACTGCCAACATCAGAAAGATCCTCCGCCTTTTCCTTGCTTCCAGCTGGCTTATTTACCTTTACTTTGCTCTGTTCATCCTGGATTTCACGAAGAGAAGAAGATCCCTTGATGAACTTGGCCCCGCCCCATGCAGGACCATCACTTCTCGGTGGTGGCGGAGGGGGAGTCACCTCTTTTGGGGCCTCATCAAGAGCACCACTCAGAAACATAGAAAGCCCACCCTTCTTGCTCTTCTTCTTAGAAACTCTTGGTGACTGACCCTTATCTTTCAGCAACTCCAAAGCATCTTTCTTCTGCACAACTAAAGTTAATTCTTTTGCAGCGTGGTCTGCTGTGGTTTGTTCAAACAGAGCATCCCCTTCCACCTATTAAATAAAATATAGAATTTTAAGCAATATAAGCAACTGTGCAACTAATTCTCTTTAATAAGAGAAAGGAAAAGGCAAGAACTTCTTGAAGTCTTATTCTTCATAATATAATAATATTTGTGTTCAGATGTAGGTGTTCCTCCAATTCACAATCTCGTCAAGTGGGATTTCCTTCGCATGTATAACTAGTTAAATCATCTTGGTAAACCAAAAGGACATTTTTGTATATAAAATATAAATATATCTTAAACTAAAAACAATATGAAATTGCACATATAGTCTTCTAAAATGAAAGCACTATGAGCCTCCAAAACAGGCTGAAACCTAATTGAATGTTTTACTAAATGAACCAATCCACCAAACCATGGATCTTTATAAGCAACTGACAAAGACTATGAAGCAATCTGAATTAACAGTGCTTCAGACTGCACATCTAACCCAGATATGCTCATCAATGGCAAATACCATCAAATAAGGGTTCAATCTAAAACTATAATTGATCGGTCAACCAATATCCTTATCCAGTACCGAATTAATTCTCCTTGCCAGAAACTATTTGATTTAACACACAAGAAAACATAAGCAAGAAAAGAAATCAAATGAAAATATGATTTCATGTTTCAACTGATGTTCTCAAATAGCATGAATAACTCATCAGATACCAACCTTCAAATCAGGAACCACCATAATGTCAATGTCCAAAAGGTCCTCAGATTTGGTATTGACTTCACTTTTAGTGTAACCAGATTCCATTTCTGTCTGCTCTATGGTTGTTTTGTTGCTCTTTCTCCTTTGTTTTTTTGATAGTTTACCCTTCTTACTACCTCTCCCTTCTGGTAGCATAGAAGACAATTCTTTACTCACTGATGTTTCAACAGGAATGCCTAGCTCTGCAAGTGAGGTCTCAAGTACTGACTTAGATTGAAGCTTTGCAATCTGCTGGTTATCAAGAAGATGTCCATTAGACTGCTTTGCTTCAAGCATCTCAATCTGCTGCAACTTCTTCCGTATAGCTCGAACTACTTTGGAAATTTGTTTATTGGGATCATCCTTGGGCTGTAGGAAGGAATCTAGTCTTCGGGTTTTCTCCAGTTTCACCGCTGACATTTTCATTGGTTTGTCACGAGTCCTTTGAAACTCCATCTCACTATCATCTTCTTCGCTGTTAATGATGGCAGGGAAAGTAGCAGTTGGACTAGGGAGCCGACGGTGACTCCATGGCTCAGATGACCTTTGGTCTAACAACCTCTCAAGGTTAGCCAGAATATCTGGTGAGGCACTTGCTACAGCATGTGATGAAACTGTAAATATATAGTCAAGGTTGCGCATGACAATCTCCTGTAGCCAGTAAATAACAACAGCTTTAGTATATCAACGACTTTAATGTTAAGAAATACATATCCAACAAAATATATCAGCAAAGACCAATTAAATTACAAAGACAATTGCATGATGGTGGAATTATATGACCTGTAATGCTACAAGATACTGCCTATTTCTCTCATAAAAATACTAGTACAAAAATATCTGTACATTGAATGGAATATGAAAAATTTAAAAGGAAAATTATATAAAAATATTACATAAAAAATTTGTGAATAATTTTTTTGTAAACTTCAGCGAAAGAAGCAAAAACATGATAACAATGTAACTGACAGTGGAGGTTCAAATCAAGTATGGAGCAAGAATGTAGCTCCTATGTGACACATTATATACCAGACAGTGTGTTCAGTAGTCAAGATCTAACCTCGCAGTACTTCTTCAAATCATCTGCTCCGAGAGAATCCGCAATCTCAAGCAGTTGAATGGCATTCCTTGGCTCCACTAGACACTCTGCAGCTACTTTTTCACAAAGGCTTTTTAAGCTGGGAGTAGATCTCTGCCTGAAAGAATCATTTTGTACACTAGATATCATATTACTGGAATCCAGATCCTCAAATAAAATGCCTTCATGTAACTCTTCCATATCATCCCTGTTATTCAACTTGAGATTTTGAGAATTCTCAATCATGTTGGGAGGGTAGACAGGATGATAGAGGGAGGCCACAATTAGTAAATGTGTTTCACCAACCGAAACTGAAGTAGCCTTCTTTACCCCATGCAACCGAGTTGCAACAAGTGGCTTGTCCTTACCTTTCTTCCCATCCCACATGTAAACATCACCTGTAGCTGTAACTGCTGCAGTCCAGTACTTTCCAGCTGATATACTCACCATATTTCTTCCACACATAGCGTATAACTGTTCAAATTATTTTTTGAAACAAATAAAGGAGAGAAATGTTTTTTAATATAACATGCTTGTCTTAGAAAATTATAAGTTATAACATACATGAAATTCAGAGTAAGAACCTGTTGGCATCTAAGATCGGGATCTGAGGAGACCCAATAAAATAATGCACCATCATCTGTAAGAGCCATGCTATGTACCATTCCAGCAGCTATAGAAACCACATTAAGCCGTTCCTTGCGGTGAAATTTTAAAGGAATGCTTCCACTTTTCTTTAAGTTCCTAGTAATTACTACACGTTTTGGTGTAACAAGTCGATGACCCCAGGTAAATACCTGCAAAACTTGAAAAATTAAAACTTAAAGAAGCATTATTATTTCCCAAAAATTTTAACTGACAACAACTATATACAACTATGCTCTTTATAACCCTACTAGCAAAAATATGTTATTGTTTCATATCCATGTACCCTAAAAAATATGCAGGAACAGTAGAAAAGAAAATAATTAAAAGTGCAGTAGTCATTATAATTTTAATATATTTTAATTAATGTTCATGGCTTCTGTTTATGCAGAGTACTTTAGTTCAGATTCACGTTAAGTATGTCCTATTTGCAAGTCCCAAGGAATCCTCATGGCCTTTGATTAGCCTTAACCTGAGGCCCAAATATGAAGAGGTACCTACAGTTTCTTGCAGTAAGAATAAACTGAACTTCTAACAAAATGAGAATTATGATAATCTGTTAGTAGTTACCTCTCCATCAGATCCTAATACAATTGTGTGATATTTTGCAGCAGAAACCCTGGTTAAAGTCTTTCCCTTCAAGGATTCAACCACATGTGGGGTGTAATTAGATGCTGAGTTTGAGGTACCATAACCAAGCTGACCCTCCCTGTTGCAACCCCAAGTAAAAACTTCACCTAAATCAGAAACTACAGCAGTGTGCTTGTTTGCTGCAGCAACAGCAACAATTTTTGACCTCAATGAAGATACTCTACGAGGTGTGGGTTGTGTATCAACAGAAGTGTACCCAAGCTGTCCCTCTGCACAGCAATGAAAAAAAAAGAAACAAAATATTGATGCCAATTCTTGTCATTCTCATGTATTATCCTAAAGAACAAAGCATAAACAAAGACAAATTTTTTTTTTTTTCCAAATAATCAATAAAATTTGGTTGAAAATCAGTAGAATACTTAATAAAAGGCAGGGCAGGGATGCAAGGGAAATGATAATTTGGTTGCATCCAGTGAAGTAGTTTACATCACAAGACTCAACTTATAACATAAATATCACCACCATGTTTTACCTCTATTGGATCCCCAAGTGAAAACTTCCCCACCCTGAGTTGCAATAACTGTATGATGCTTAGCTGCAGCAATTGCCATCACTCTGCGGGAACCCAGACCAGAAGTCACCTGGCGGGGAGTGATGACAGCAGCTTGACCACTGCAATGAGTATAGCAAAATAAATTCTGACTGAAAATAGTCCAAAAGCATGAAAAGATGAAATTGATAAACCTCCCTCCATTACTCCCCCAAAAAAGAAGTTTGGTTTTCTGCTGCTAATTTGTGTTTATAACAAGAAGTACAAATACTAGATTCTCCCCAATATGTATAATAATAGAATCTGCTGCCACATAAAATAAATTTTGGTTCCAGTAAAACACCACCAAAAAGCAGTTCAACAGACTTTGAGTTTTGACTGAGTGCATAAAACTGTCGCCAATTGAACATATGAACATGCAAATAAATGTGTTATCAATGCAAATAAAGGAGCATCTAGTAAGACAGTTAACTAACAGGATTCTCATCCAAGGTATTCTAGAAAAGAAATTCAAGGAACTCAATATTATTAGGGAACTCAACCAAATTCTCCATATATTCAATCTTAATAATAAAAAAATGGTAACATCAATACTAATAAAAAGCATGCGCATCTGGCTTTGCACAGAAACAAATCATATACCTGTGTATATCAAAATCAGGATGCCCCAAACGGCCCCCCCTTCCAAATCCCCAAGTATACACTTCTCCAAGAGCCGTAAGTGCCACACTATGGAACTTCCCCGCAGAAATGAGCTTTATGAATGAACCACTAAGTGAATCAACTTTGCATGGTAACTTTTGAATATGCGCATTTCCAGTTCCAAGTTGATAATTTGCACCACTCCCCCAACTAAAAACCTCAGTAGCCACTAAAGATGCACAAAAAGTCAGATGAGTATCCTATACAACTCATTTCTCATGGAAACAACATGCCAAATGATTGCAAAGTGGTCAAAGCACAGCAATTTATACCTGAACGGTTTTCATTTCCAAAAACTTGACATACAGAGCCAGATAAGTGATCTACAGGTAATCGAGATTTAGAGTCCTCCAATGTAATGGAGGCACCATGTTGAAGAAGGACGCTTCCCACAGCAAGATGACCAAAATGCAGAGCCCTGTGAAGGCTACTCCATCCCGATTCTCCATCCTAAAAATAAAACAAGCTTCAACATTGATCGATTCAAATAAAGCACTAGTTAGCTACTCCTAAATTATTATGGCTTATCTTCAGTAAACCCTATGAAACAATGAAAAATTCCTGAGCAAAATTTTCTAGATAGAAAGTCAAAGTCAAATAATCAGAAACTATTGTCGTAATATGTCCCACTTTTCAAAAGCCAGGCAAACAGGTGTCTTTTATTTAATGAAACATTCCACCACAAATGAATTGCATGGAATATATCATATGGTGAAAATTTTATTTTTACCTGTGTGGTAAAAGCACATTAGCAATTCATTTTTATCCTATGCTATAGGGAATAAAGACAAGGGAGATAAAATTGAGATTGTTTTAGCCTTGTAGTACGACACAAACATTTGAAGGCATCAATGAAAAACAACTACTTTTGAGTATGATGCTGAGGTAATTAAACAAAACCCAATAATGATAAGCGAAATGAAGAATGAAATATGACAATAAGATAGGTAAAAAAGAATATCCCCTTATATCTGGACCAATGGTCTGAAGATAATTAATGGGGAGGATCCCAAATAAGATCACTACTAGATTTCAAGAGGTTCAACAGAAATTGAGAATAAAAGTCAGTCTAGACATAGTTTTAATAATTCTTTACTATACCAAGGTTTTGAATCCAAGTGGCAAATTTAGTTTAAAAAACATGTAATTATGTGAATGTTACTAATGGGCTTCTCATAACACATTCATAACATCAATTCATCCTAAAATAATAAATAATCTAAATAACAACAAAGAAATCTTAGGACATTCCATTTCCTTGGTTGGCAGTTTTATGACAGAAATACCCCTTATGTTACTGTCATCAACACATTTTGCATGTCATAAAATTAATTGGGCACAAAAAATTCATCTTAATTTATGTACAGAATATGGATATTTTAATCATTTTCAAAATTCAGCATGGACACACCGCAGCAAAGCAGTTAAACATCCGTCCATCAACCATTCATCAAGTAATGAACAGAAAATGATTAGAATAAATTGTAGAGTGCTCACAAATAAACAATTACGCCTTATGGCCTTGACTCTTGAGAAGTAAAAAACATGAAGATACAGTAAGAATCTAAAGAAAAGGGGCAAGCATATGTCTGCAAAACAAGAAACGTCATCAGAAAAGAGAAAGATATCATACTCGAGCATCAGGATCTGCACCAGCAGCAAGAAGCCTCCTTACTATGGGAATGTGGTTTCTCCAAGTTGCAATATGAAGAGGAGTCAGGCCAAAGGTGTTCCTCAAATTGATATTGCCTCCACTCTTCTTCAACAATGCCAAGGCCAACTCTACGTCATTTAGAGATCCTTCTCGCACAACAAGCCACAGATCCTTTTGGGATCCAGAACATAAAATTTTGCGACCTGTTGTCTGCAAATTCTGCTTTTGTGCTTGTGGAGAAATAGCCACTTCCATTTTTAAAAAATGTGCACACCAAGTATGTTAGTTATCTTGCACAATATTTTATCTTGGTCTAAAAGAGGGCTCCAGTGGCTCAGCAGTTATATTCCATATATCCACAACCTTATAACGTCAAGAGCCAGATTCTCAAAAACTACACGCTCTACCAGACTAAACTTGAATACTAACAAACAAAAACAATTCTGAACGCCATTAGTTGATTCTCACAAGTCCATGGTACGTGACATTGTGACCTAATAACCAAAACATCAACTAAAGATAACCAATTACAAGGGGAATTGGTCCTCCGCTAATCTACCTCCAACATTCATAGAGCCATCTTTATCATAATATTATGTACACAAACAAGTTGCAGCAACCATTGACAAATCCCAGTATTGTTCACCGGCAACAGAGAAATCTGCTATAAACAGAAACAATGATTATGCAATTCATCTATTGGTTGCACGAACATTCTTAGAAAATAATATTTTTTTCAGAAGAAAGACATAAAAACATGTACAGGCAACTAAAGTCCCTCAGCTGAGCACATAACAGTCTCTGTCTCTCAGTAAATAAGCTGGTAGGAACCAACAAAAGACAAACCAAATAAGTCCTCAATAAAAGTCATTAAATTGATCGTGCGACGAAGAAAAAAGAGGTATAAACAAAATGTACTACAAATATAAATAACTCCACAAGAAGACCACAACAGAATGTAATGAATTGTAAATTGAAACCAGTGAGACCATAAAATTCTTCCTTTTGCTGGAAAACTCAAGATCCACAGGCTCAGTTTATAAACTACCAATCATAAAACCAATTATTAGAACTGAAAGAAAATTATACATTGATGCAAGCCCCTAGGTAGGACAAGGACACGAATTTTAAAAGGAAATTTAGGAAAATAACAAAGAATGAAAAACAAATGCCATGAATATTTTTTCATAAAGAGTTTCACATTTGATCTATGCACTTAAAAAGTTAATTCATTACGCTTCCACGCAAATACTATCTCCAAACTCAATAATTAGGAAAAAAAATTGAATCACAAAATGACAACACTAATAAGAAACACTAAAAAATAAATCTGGACACAAAAGGAGGACACCCTCCAACGCATCGCGCAGCACATCACCAAAATCATAACAAGATCAAAACAAAATAATAGCTCGAATCCATTAAACATCACCCATGTCAAAAAACACAACCTTTCATCAACAAACACAGGGCTTAAAAACAGAACAAAAACAATGTACCCACATGAAAATTTTACTGGATCACCCCCACCATACCCCAGATAATTATTTCCGCACAAAAAAGGGGGGGAATTTTGAAGAGACCCACATGGCCAGAAATTGAGTTAAGTTGAAAAGAGAATCAGAAGTGAAGAAATAATGAGAAAATGTACTAGCCTTACCCGTTAACGTGTTGAGAAACAAACCCAAAACTCTGCAAAGAATATAAGAGTACGCCTTAATAGTAAAGCTGAGAGGAGTTATAAATGGTGATTTTTGTGACCAAAGAGTATCGAAACCCAGAATATACCTTCTCTCACAAACGGACCAAAGGTAATAGCCCAAAAATATGGAATAATAAAAATTCAAACTTTATCTTAAAATAAATCAATTTCGGAAAAAATGATTTTGGAGAATTTCCATACAGAGAGAAAACAGGAGAGGATGGTAAGAAAACAATCCCAATCACGAAAGGGGTAATTATGGAATTTCAAAGGTTTTCGTTTGGACCAAAACGCCCCTGACTCGCGAGACTTTGGTTCCAACGACGAGGTCTGGGGTTGTCGCTTCCACCAGACACTGTGTTTTCTCCGCAAAACAAGTGTTCGCAATGACACGTGTCTTCTTGGTAAGATGACGCGTGTTGAAAAGACCTGTGCTGTAGGTCCCACATAGCGAGAAAAAAAATCATCATTAATTACTTAACAAGTTCTTAAAATATTGCTAAAGAATTAAAACTTAAAAAAATTATTAAAACTTAAAAAATTATTAAAAATTGTTATTTACATATTTATTAACATATTTTTTGTTTTTAATAATTTAATTAATATTTTAAAGAAACTAATTAATGAAATTATTTAATAAAACATGTATATTATATTAAGATAAATATCAAATACATAAAAGACTTTAATATCAAACATGTTTCTAATTATTTCTAATTGAGTTTTTAAGATTATAATTATATTAAAAGTTAAAGAGAAATTTTTTTCCACCCATTAAGCATGAAAATGAAATTTGAACTTGCTTGTTTTGTCCAGCTAGACGAAAATACATCATTTAAATTGACTTTGGGTGCTGGTCGATTCTTTCCGAGAAGAATGCCAGCAATATGTTTCTTTACTAAAAATTAAAGTTCATAATAATAATTTACATGATAAAAATTAATATTAAAAAATAACACATTAAAAATTAACATATATCATTGAGGTGAAGTTTTAATTTTAATTTAAAAAACGCAAATACTATTTATGCTACTTTCTCACTTAGGTAGCTAGTATATACGCCTAATTTTTTAGTTAAAGCATATTAACAAACAACATCTTTAATGTATTTTTAAAAAGTTATAATTATAACTTATCAATATGCTTTTTTTATAAAATAAGTGGGAGTAAATTAATAAATTGTGTGTGAGAGAGAAATAAATTCACTTGTTTCAAGAATAAATTTTAGTTACAAAAAATAAAGTTCATTAATTCAACTATAGTCTATACATTTAAGAATTATTGATAAGCTGATTAAATTAGTATAATTTTATAAATATAAAAAAACAATATTTTATTAAATTATTTTATTTTAACATAAAATATATTTTTAAAATAAAAACAAATAACTATTATAAGATTATGAGCATATAAATGTTAAATTTGTTAAAATTTTGACATACATAGTTATTAACATAATATTATATGATTTTATGGTTAGATTAACAAAAGTTAGTGTTTATAAAAAAATTATTAAAAATAATAAATAATTAATATTTGTATAATACGTAGTTTAATTTAATTAATAGATTCATTTATTTTTAGGAACAAGCATTGATAAATTTATTTAATTTAATAATTTCTTATAAACAATAAATTTTGTTAATCTATCTATATTTATATCTATTTATCTATATTGATATGTAAAATTGATTATATTTATAATAAGAATTATAATTATTAAAATTTAAAATGTTTAGAGTCACGTATAATATAATTATATATATTGGTTAATAAATTCATAGTTTGACATATTTTATAACTTATATTTATATAATTTAAGCTTATTTTATAGATGTTTTAAATTAGCTTTATTGTTAATTGTTACAATTAAGCATAAAAGAATCACTAGTGCATTATGAAAATATTTTAGATAAAAATTGAATAAATTCAACTAAATTTATAAATAAGTACGACTGTGCTTCATGACATGCACAATTGTGCTTTAAAATCTTCATGGGCATGCTACGTAGCTTTAAGAACAGTTGTGCTAGAGGACATGCATAGTCGTGTTGATTGAATCTGAGTGCAAAATCTAAATTTGATTTTTAAAATTGTGATAGTTCTAATTTAGATAGAGATAAGATTTCAGCTGGGACTTTAAAAGGTTGGAAAAATCAATTTCCTTTCTTAAAAGATAACATTTATCTGTTGAAAGTCATTACACAACCTATATAAAGAAGCTTTATGCTTCTAACAAAGACATCCCTTTGTCATCATCTTCCTCTTCTAAATCTTGACTTAATTAACCATTGAAAGTTATTGGAAAGTGAGAGATTATTGGCAAAGACGATAAGTGTTTCTTTGAAGTTAAAGCAAGTGACTGAGTGCTATTGGAGAACAAGAACTTCTTTCATCTTCTTTCTTTTTTGGATCTCTTTAATTTGAATTCTCCTTTGAGTTTTTATGAATTTGTTTATAATGATTCTTGTTGTTTACTTTATTATGAGTAACTAAATCCATAGGTAAGGCTATGGTGGATCTCATTGCATACTCTATATGACTTTTATATTTAATAATGATGTTGGTTTCTTTTAATGTTTTATTTTTATCTTATTGAATTAAATTTTACATGTCAAGAATTGATCACCTTTAACATCTCATAATTAGTTACATCATAGGCAGTCGTACCATATGTAATTAATAAAACTATAAGATAAAACGAGGCAAGGGGTTAAGTGGATTAAACTTAATTCCAACCATTACTAAATTAACAAACTCATAAGGTTTTTATGTTTTCTATACCTTTTTCCTTGCATGATCATTAGGAGTAATTGTCTAGGAAAAAGAATATTAAAATTACATCATCATTAAGTGTTAATAGAATAAGTATGAGTAGTTGGTAAACATAGGGAAACTAATATTGAAATTAAATTAAATAAAACATAGAGAGATGTAATAGGTGAAACCATATGTCCTAGGCTCATCTTATCAGGCCTATATATTTATGTATATTTATTATATATTATTCCTTTTAAATTATGTTACAATTGCTTGATCTATATAAACTTTTATATATGTTGGTATATAAAATGTGCGAGCTATGCAACGGCTGGATGAAAGTTGAGCGTTTGCAATGTTGTTTGGTTGCTTTATTTGATGTAATTAGTAATAGGGGTTTGTGATCGATTATTAAGTATCTTATGAGTGTGTTAACGTGAGAAATATAATAGAACCTCTCATTGTAAAACCCTCTTTTGCATTGCCTTCATTCTAGAAAAATAGGAATTTTGGTGTAGGATTTCTCACTCAAGTGAGGCAGAGTCGTACTAAACCAAACATTTTGGAGCAATCTCGCTCAAGCGAAATTAGTCTTCCTCAAGTAAGAAAGGATAAAGTTGCCCTAACTGTCCTTTCTCCGAGGCGAGAAGGATATCGCTCAAGTGAGAAAGAGTATTGCCAAAGCAGCCTTGCAGGAAAAAATGGAGAACTCTCTAAACGCATTCTCGTCTGGGTGAGAATGTTGTTCACTTAGGCGAGAATAGCAAAAAACTAGGTAAAATCACTGTCTGATTTTTTCACCTAAGCGAGGATAGTCTCACCCAGGCTAGAGTAGGGCTCGCTCAAGCGAGAGTCTGCTGGCTCAAGCAAGAATGCGTGAGTTTTGAGAGGTATTTAAAGAATCTCAGTTCAGAAACTCTCATTTTCTCACCAAACAACTTTTTCCTCTCATTTTCTCTTTGTTCTCTCACCTTCTTTTCTCAAAGAAAACCTCTTGAAGCCTGAATCTCTTTCCAATCTGAGTGTGAATGCCTATTCCGTTCAGATCCAAGTAAATTTTCAGAGCTTAATTCTCTAACTTCGCTCTTTATTCTTTGTTTTCTCATTCTCAAGAGTTTTTTGCTGTGTCATATTAAAGAGATTTGAGTCCTTCAGAAGATATTTTATATTGGAGCATTGTATCTCTCTCTTGGAACTCGCGAGAAGTATGATCTGAGAAACCTATTTTCAAGTAAAGGGAACTTGTCCCAAGTTGCTATTGTTACTAATTTGAATAATGTAAAATCTTGTAAACAAACCTTAATTTAGCTTATAATGGATTAATGTATGGATAAACCTTAGGGTAGAACACTAAATATACATGGCTTATAGGATTTTTTGTTACCATCTTATAACGAATGTTTGAAATGCTATGATAAAATGTAACATGCTGAAGATGCTTTATATATACTGGAAATCTATTATGTCGAGATTGGTTGAAAAATGTTATGACTCCACACTAGTTGTGGAGAATATAAAAATGTTGTAAATACCTCGATTTTGCTAAGAACATATATATATTTATTCGAATATTCTGCATCACACTGATTTTATCATTCTAAAGCTAAGTTACATGTTTAGGTGGTTAGATATGTAATGATAAGAAAAATGTTAAGTTGTGTTGTGTATGGATCAAGATACCAGGATGAGTCGCCCCCAAACCAAAAAATTTTAAGTTCCTTCTAGATTACTTAGGTTATAAAACCAGTTGAAACTAAGTTGTTACATTATATGAGTTAGGCATTGGTGAAATATCTACATTGTTTGCTGATAGCTGTGAACGTATTAAGTTGTATAAATATTTATATTTATATTCTGCACTTTATAAATATGGTTATTTATTGTGTAAGCTCACCCTTACATTTTGTTTGTGTTAGCGTGTATGCTGCGATAATCATACGGTGGTACGTGAGCAGGTGTAACAGGTAGTGTGTTCATTTCCTATGCTGGAAGGTCAAGCTGAGGAGTGATTCGAATCTGACATTTTTTTTTTTTAGATTTGTAACTCTACTTCTTTTGTTAGTTTAGGTCTTAGTTGTGAGTTTAGACTATATAGCTACATGTTTAATCATAAAATGTAAATATTTGATTATAAATTTGTACTTTTGAGCTATGTGCCAAGCAACTCTTGTGTAAATGTTGTTAAAGGACAATTATATGTTTCGAGTTTTATAATCATGCCCTTGAGGGCTCACTTTGTCATTGAGATGTGAGTTTTTATTTTTCGTCGATCGTCCCAAGTTAAGTCTCGATTCTTTTTAAATGCTTAAAATTTTATTCAAATCATAATTGAGTAGTATGTTATAAATCCTTACCAAAAAGAGGTTGGGACACATCTCATCCAATTTCTGTCAAGAATTGCATTATTGTC